CTCCGTGCAAAATATTATATTTTCCATAAGCAATTTAACACCGAGTGCCATGAGCATTACTCATACCCCCTAAATTGGCTTTTTTTTTTCTCCCCCCTTCTTCTTCACTCCCAGTTTTGGATTGATTCTCAATTTGTTCCTAGTAATTTTTAAGCCTTCAAGTTTCAAAGGTCACTTTGTAACAAAACCTAATTAATTAAATTAGTCAGGAGCTGCTGCTTTGCTGTGCTGTGCAAGATGTGCTCCTTGAGCTTTGTCATGTAGACGTGAGAAAGTACTGGATAAATAAGATTTATTGCCATTTCTTACTTGAAAAGAAACTCCTGGCTGCCTTGAATAATCCTGCGTCTTGAAAGTCAGCTAACATTGAAACCAGTCCCCAATGCCTTTGACACAACGTACTGGCATCAGTATTACTGTTTTCATAGAAATCTTTTTCTCTGTTGCCCACTTACATTAAATGATCAGGCCAGACTTAAAGGATTCAGATGCATGTAAGTACAAGTGGGGCTTTGCGCCACATTAAACTCTTTGAGCCCAAATAATTTCTATAACTTGCATTTCCACAGAACTGTGTTGATTTCTCGCTGTATGTTTACAGGTAATCAAAGTGGCCATGGAACCTTAAAGGGAACAATTCACAGATCTTTGCATATTGAATTAGAAGGAGTTGGATAATCCAGCTGCATGTCTGACAAATATGATATACATAGACCTCTGTCACCTGCTTCTCATCTGTGTTTTAGGCCATACACTTGAGGCTATTAGCTACTGCTACCATAACAGCTGAATTGATTTAGAATGTTTTAAACTGCCTTTTAGAAGTCAAACAATGCTATACAAGTGCAGTAAGTTAAGTTTTATTGATTATTTGATTCAAAGTAAATCATTTCTGCACCCATTCGTCCAATCCATTTAAGATATAGTCCAGCACATTCGGCAATAATTTTAAATTATGGTATTAGCTTTGCCATTTCTGTCAGTGGAACAGTGTATGTAGCAGGAAGGTATGTTGTTCCTTATCAAACGAAATGTGATCAACATTGGTGATCGCAGGGGAATAACCAAGCAGGCCAAGTCTGACGGCGCTTTACGAGGCTTTAACATGCGTGGGGGGTGAATTCCAGTTGATGGAAGCCACATGATAAGCAATACACAGCGTCGAAGTCACATGGAATACATCAGTCACACGGATTATCAATAGCAGGTTTTTCTTATGAATACACATGAACCACACATAAACTGTGCAAAATCAATTATCGCTTGAGGACAGAATGACCTTGAACTAACTTGTGTAACACGTATCTATTGCAGAGATGACCTGAAGTTAAGAATACGGTTGATTTACAGGCAGCACTGACCGATTAATGTTATACTTTGTTTTAGCTCATTTTCATTGCATGTCCTTTTGACTGAGGATTATGGTCCTAGCTGATATAAAGAGGCTCTTAAACCCTGAGAAAAAGAGTTCCCTGTCTCCAGAGTCATTTAAGATTATGCCCCCTGTGGGTGCACTGTGGGTTTAACAGTGTATGAGCCCTGTAGCAGTCTTCACATCTCCTAATGTATCTCCTCTGTCTGTGTAAGGACATTATAACATTTGTTGTCTTTTGTTTGTCTGTTTGCTCTGTTCTTGTGAGTTGATGTTGAGCTTGTCTGTTCATCTTTGTTTGTTTTGAAATTTTGACAGAAAAGTCTATATGAGGCATTTTCCACAAGGACATTTCTTTTAGGAAATGTGTAAATGATGCAACTAAATTTAAAAAGAATTATGTGTTGATTTGGACACATTTTTCTTCAAAATCCAACTTGAATTGTAGGATTTTGATTTTATTAAATATAAATGACTTCAGTTCGTCATCCTCAAATGTGTCCAGATACTTCAGATATCTAAATAAAAATAGATAAATAAATAAATAAAATAAGAATAATAAACAAAAATGTAATCCAGGCGAAGGTTTATCCTACAACACGGAGGCTACGGAGAATACTGGAAAATACAAATTTGTTTGCCTGTTTACCTCATTTAGCCTCATTGCTCAACCTTCAAGCACATAAGCTCCATTGTTATTCTTTGCTCCTAGTCATCATGTTCTTAGGCAGAATGCAAATCTGTTATCCTCTGGTTCGGCCGCAGTGGGCTTGTTTTTGTGTGTAGCTGTTAGTTGCGCTGATGAAAAGACCACCTGTCATCCACTGGCCCTTTGATTAGATTAGGAGGTCAGAGGGATGGATTAAATTGATATAACGTAGACTCGACCCCCATGCAGTGGTTACTGTGTTATTAGAGGAGCTCTGATCTGAAGGTATTGGACATTACTGTACTTCATATATAAACAATGGGTCAGTGCCTGTGGTACAGATTTTATTTCCAGCCATTATTTGAGTCAGTCAGTCATTATGAAAGATATGCATAATGTAATATATGACGTGGTGACTTTTTTGATTGTTCCAAATACATCAACAAGGTCATTTAGATTGTAGATAAGATGGGGTATACCCTGGGTTGCCTTAGCTGCTGTATCAGAGATGATAAAAAGATGAATCTATCTCCAGCTCAAAATCAAACAAAAGAACAAAACAAAACGTCTGTGGCCTTTATTATAAATTAGTGTTTAGAAAATAACAAATCTGACTTGTATAAATTTATTCATAAATGAATGAACAGTTGATGGAAAAATAAGGATTTAGTGTCTCAATTGATCCAGGCTGAAACTGATCACATTCCTGCTATGTGTACAAGCTGCACGGATGTAAACACTGGATGAGATGTAAGAAGAAAGCATGATACAAAGTCATATTGTTGATGTACATACATATACATAATTCCTTTCATTAATCCTCACTAGGGTCCCAGGGGGGCTGGAGCCTATCCCAGCTGACTTAGGGCGAAGGCAGGGGACACTCTGGACAGGTCGCCAGTCGATCACAGGGCTACACTTAGAGACAGACAACCAACTCACTTATTGCCAAGTTATGTATTAAAAATCTTTTTTGTTTGTTTGTTTGTTTTGTTTCAATTGTGACAAATTTCCCTTTACTTTCTCTGTGTTTCTATCTCTCCCTCCTTTTTTTTGGTCTCTTCAATCACTCTCTGGGGGGGAAAAAAAAGAAAGAAAGTGTTAATTACAGTAGCAGTGGAGTAACTTGTTGATGGTGGTTAAAGGTCATGAGCTGTGGAGGTAAACAATATCTAAAAATAGCTGGACCTATTTTATGGCCCATGACTTACTTTAATAGCTTACTGTTTTTGATGAAGGTATCATATGATTGTCCACTGAGCTCTGATTTAATGATTGTTAAACAGGTTCATTTGTTCTTACTGTGATGTGCAAGTGTGTTGTGGGTTGATGGCACAGTTTCTTACCTTTTCTGTCATCTATAGCAGCACATACTGCCTATATCACTGTGGTGAACACTTTTATTATCATCATCAGAATCCAACAAACAGAATGCTTTCAAACATTTTAAGTAAAATAAAAACTAAGAGGTTGGCTCTTAAAGGGTTAAAAGAAGACATGAAAGGACAATGATGGTTCTAATGATTAAAAGAGAAACTGAAAAAAAAACATTAATTCTCAAAACTTTATGACGAAATTTCAGTCAGTCTGTACAACGTGGAAAAAAATCCAGAAGTTTGACATACTGAGGTAAGGAGGAGTTAATACTGCTACGTAGCAACGACAGCTTCAGGGACAACAAAGGGTTACATCAGTGCAGAATCACTAACTTAAAGGTATGCATACTTTTTATTTCAAATAATTAATTTCTTTGCATAAATTACTAATTTAAATAGCAAAATTGTTCCCTTTGCACCTCGATGCATTTGGTTTCCTCAGTCTACAGTACAGCATGTTTTGCATGTGCACTTCTCTGTTACACCTGGACCTTGCTTTGCCTGAAACATAACAGAAGAAAAGAAATGGCCCTTATTAAATATTTAACAGGCATAACCAGGAAAACTTGTTAGTAAGCATGCAGTGCATTTGGGCATTTTATGACGTCTTGCATCATGGCTCCTTGAGTGAGCGAGTATAAATCTAATTCACCCCTAATAAAAATTGGATACTAATGAATGCTACAGCTTTGGTCTTGAATGCTAATGTGGTCTTTATCCATTCTCAAGGAAAAGTCTCATGGATTCCAAAAATTCAGTCCAATTCAAAAACTCCCACCCCCCAATAAAAAAGGCAAAGGTCTTAACCTGGGAGGAGGGGTGAGCCTGCACTTTTTAGTTTGTGGATGTCTTCGTTATTTGTAGCTATACAGGTCTCACTCCTATTCTCATTCTAATTGGAGCTGCACCCTTTCTGTTTCTCCCATGGCAGCTCTCGTTCCCAGAGTGAGGACCCAAGCCTCCCAGCCTCCCAGCCTCGCACTCAGCCACAGCCACCCAGACAGCCAGGCTGAGAGGCTCACAGAGAGAGAGCGAGCGAGAGAGCGAGAGAAGGGAGGGGAGGGAGAGAAAAAGCAATGGAGGGAGGAGTCTAGTTGTGGAGCTCTATTCCCTGACTGTCTGCTGCGTGAGTGGTGGAGCAAAAGAGAGAGAGAGAGAGAGCATGAGAGAGAAAGAGGAGGAGGAGGAGGAGGGGGCCAAGTGAGGGTTGAAGGCGCTGAGAATGGATGGGCAATGAGAAACCGAGAGAGGAAGAGTGAGCGCGTGTATTCTCAGAGTCAGCAGCGAAGACACAGAAAGTCTACAAGCTCACATCACCAAGAGAAGCGCGTGCGAGGCAGAGCTGACAACTGGCTACTCTGAAGAGTGACACAGAGAAGGGGGAGAAAGACAGAGAGAGACAGAGAAAAAGAAGAAGAGGAAGAAGAGGAGGAGGAGGAGGAGGAGGACGGAAGACAGACAAGCAGCCTTCCAGTGGTAACAGGAGACACCACTGAGGGACTGTAGCATCGTCCCCCCCAGCAGCACAGAGGAGCACTGTCTCATCTCGTGCTTGTGTTTGTGCCTGCCAACTTCAATTTCACACTCGCCTACTGTTTTTCATAGGTTTTGCCCTCTCCACTAACCAGTCATGGTCCCTTGGGTCCTTCTGCTCCTGTGGATCTCCGGACATGGTAAGTTTTCCACATTAAGTTGCTTATTCATCACACCCCGCGTGCTTGTGATTGCTATGCGACTTGCTGGCTGGGAACTGTGTCTCTGAATTCATCTCTTTGCTGTGACGCCTGAGCTTGTGCTACCATCTGTGTTTTTAACTGCTTCTAATATAGCTCTCCCATGTGAACTGTGATGTCTGATGCGAATGAGAAAAGGAGAAAATCAGAGGGAGAAGTCTGCGAGGCTGTCCTGGAGCTGCGAACAGTTGTAGCTTGGACTTTTATCTGTCAGTAGTTTGTCAAGGCTTTCAGACCCGACAAGTTAAATACTTACAATGCAGGCTTGATATTCCTGTCACACACGCAGACACACACAAACAAAGCCCTCTAACCCCAGTCCAGTTCAGCCAAGCGTTCACTCCCGAGTCACATTGTTTTGAACTGACAGCCCTTCCCCATTGAGTTCAACTACAGGGGGTCTGGTCAAAAGAATAGAGAGAGAAAAAGTTAACGCTGAAGTGCTTCAGAAAGCAGGCTCATGAGTATAGCTTGGCAGCTCCAGCCCTTTGGACACTATCTGCTGTTGTTATTTTTATTCCTAGACAGTCTGTTTGTGGACAGAATGAGGATGGATTAGCTGTTTCCCCGGCTTGCCACCAGGTGGTTGTCTTTGGAAAACAATAGAAGTGAGTACAGTACGGCAGAAATCTACATCTGTGGTGCTGGTGGGATATATGGATGCGCACGGAATTGAATCATGTCGTGGATGTTTGTCAGTTCACAACATCATACTCAGCCCACAATGAGCAGCGTGGTTTATGCTCTGCAGGGCTCAGGGTCAATGACACAAGCACCATCTCTTTTCAAAGTTTGACCCTGTCACGCTGGACTGCATTCTAAGGGGGACACTGACTGAATGAATGTCTGTGTCTGTGCATGTTTGTTTGTGTCTACTTGTTTTTTCCCAGAGGGAGTTGTAATCTTTTTGTAGCAAGGCAGCAGAGAAAAAGCAAAATTCTGTGTGATTTCAGTTTGGTGACACATTCCGGGGGAAATTGACAGCTCAAAGTTGGTGACATGCTGCTAAAACAGCGGCAACAAATGAAACTTGGTAAACAAGATCATTTTCCTCAACACTGATTTCAGCTGTTCAACATGTTGATTTACAGTCTATTATATAGAAGGAAAAAAAAGCCATCATCAAGCACAACAATTTGCTGTGATTATGTTTTTCTGCTGACTCATTTTTCGTGTGGAAACAGAGAGAAAAATAATAAAATCATGACAGACCAATTTGAGACTGACTGGAGTGATGAAGCTTCACAGTCTCTCTCATCATCTGCGGTGCTTTCTCTTGCAGAGAGGGTGTCTGTACAGCCTGTTTCCTTCATGACTGTGTGTATGTTGACACAGGCTGTGCAAGTTGAGGCAGAGTGGACAGAATCAAGGCAGTGGAAGTTTTCTGTCTCTTGTTTTTGTTACGGGACAGTACATCAGACACGGCCTTGTAGATGCTACTGTTCCGGATGTGGCAGCTTTGCTGTATTCTGTTTCCCCTGATTTCATTGTCAAGTCTTTCTCTACCATCTGTGCATATTGCGATGCCGAAATACATGATCAGTCATTAGTCTCTTCTCTTCCATTCTGTTAAGCATCTGCTGAGTTTTGTATCCGCAGCTGACTTCATATCTGCACTACACTGTATTCCCATTTTCAGCAAGTACAGGGCTTAACACCACGGTTCTATTAGACATGAAAACTACTGTTTTAAATTATTGATATAAAGCACACTTTGTTTAGGGCTTTTGTTTTTCAGCCACCACATTTTCATTCACATATCATCACAGGTTTAGCCCCAGTTCTGGGAACAACTAATACCATATCTCACACAGCACCAACTGGAATGAGGCGATTGCTACTACTGAAATGAGATGGGTTTGCTGCGCATTTCAGCACAGTTGGTTATTACCATAATATAAAATACCACTTTCCCTGCCAGGTAAACGGGGGATAACAATTTACCTTCTCTTTGCATGCCTCTGGGGAGAAAAAAGTGCTTCCCCAAAGCTTACTGTTGTTGTACAAATTACGGCTCTGTTTATGTGTCGAGTCGGTGTCAGCAGAAAGCTGCGGAAAACAATCTTGTTTTTATGAACAGGGGGACAGAGGGGAGATGCGACCATAGCAGTCACATACTTAGGCGCAGCTATCCTGTGAGACAGCGAGAAAGAAAGAGAGTGCAAAAATGAGCGAACGAGCGAGAGGGAAGCGGAGAGAAGAGTCACTCCATATACAGAGGAGCTGAGCAGTTTTTGTTTTTTCTCTCAACTTTGAGAAATAAATGATCCAAAGCAAGAATAAGACGGAGAGGGAGAATGAGAAGAAAAGCTGTTGCGAGCTGCTTTCCATCCTGACTATGCTGTTATCGCATGTAGGGCACCTTTTCTTTTGCTGTCACCTCTCCAGCCAGTGACAGATGACACAGCACCAGTCAGGAGGATCTGGGAGACAGTCTCCAGGAACACATTCACCGCAGGCCAAACTTGTCCAGGACCTCGTTTGTCTCCTCTTGCCACCTCCTCCCCCACATTTCTCCTCCCATCCAATCTATACATGGTCCAACATCGGTCACATTCTTCACTTGGCTCTTAGTCTCTTGATTTCACTTGTTCACCTTGCAGCAGCACACATTTTCCACTCCTTTGCTTCACTTCTTCAGTTTTATTTTGTTTTTAATGTCAACTTTTTTCTCGGACTGCGTGTGATTGAGTGCCTTAGTCTACGTCTGAGGAAGGGTGAAATATTGGAAAGCATAATCTCCAGGTGTATGAGGGGCAGTTTAAGGATAGTGTTGCACTAGATGTGCCAGAAAATGTGTTGGAGAAAAAAATCACAAGTTGTCAATGTTAAGTGTATGGTCTCTGTCCTTTTTGCTCTTCCTTTTCTCCTCTATGTCTCTTTGCCTTTTTATTTTTTGTCTTACCTTGCATGACACAGTGGGTAATTGATATGTAAAAGTGTCTGGGCTAATCATTTTTTGGAATACCTTCAACATATGGTTTGCCCACCAGGGGCAGTGCTGCTGCACCGGAATGAAATTCCAATCTTCTTAAAAATCTCCTGCTCTGTCCCTCCCTCTTCCCCCCTTCCATCTCCCCAGCCACCTTCATTATCTCCAACTCCCTCATATATCTCGTGTCAGAACTTCTGATTTCGCCACCCGGCCAGACTAAGCTGTTTCTTAGTCCTGGAAAGCATGTCTTAGTACCCCCAGCAGCCCCTGTTTCATTTACTGCTGTCTATTAACTGCTGTCTGACGACTCTAAATCCGCTTTTCATGGGCGGCAGGCTTTGATACATATTTCTCAACCAAAGTATAATTAAATGTCTTTCCAATGTCATGTTTGGATGTGTGGATTTTTTATAGACGGAGAAATCATTCTCGCCTCTCCAAACCTGGGGGGGGAGGAGGAGGAGGGAGAAGTGAGAGAAAGAGGGAGAAAGAAATACAGCCCATTACACTGCACAACACTACTCAAACAGAAATACCAATTTTCAGACTCATTATTATGAATAGTTATTTGTAAGCAAGACACACTGCTGTCTAATGCATGGATTATGACTATAATAACTCAGAGGTAATTAATTGATTTATCCCCATTCTATTGGAATGCTAAAACTAATATACATTTTTCTGGCGTGTTTTATAAGCTTTGCCATTCCCGCAGTCATATGTTTAATGAAAATATTATGACTAACAACCGCAGAATGCATTCTAAATTTCATCTAAGTATAATCTATATTCAAAATGGGACTGTGGTAGAGGATAATTAATAGGCATGGTAAGAAATGTAAACGTGTCCTTGTCGTGGACAGATGACTTTCCCGCTCTGCATAGATGACAGTCACACAGTGAGTGACAGATGATGTCATCAGTTCATGATGGGCCCAGTGGCAGTGCAGTTTGTTTTCTTGTTTGTGCTGTGTGTCCCATCAAGGCCAGCCAGTTTAAGTCACCTCAGCCGCTGTGACCCCTGCTCATTTCTGTGCCACGATAGATTAAGCCCACTGTAATCCCTCTGAGCCGAGTGCCCTGTTGGATATTTATGGTAATAAGTAAACATATGAATAAATAATCTGAGAGGCTGCTGCTGGACAGCTGGAACTTGTAAGTCGCAGTGTTTGGAAGTGGTTGTGTTAAAAAGAAATGTTATTCAAGAAAAAAAAAAAAAAAAAATCAGTTTTTTTTTTGTTGCCTTAATGCTGCATAAAACAAGCAAAAAAAAAAAAAAACAGGAGTTTGGTCAACGACTGTTCAAACACATAAACAAAAATACCAATTAAAAAAATACATCTCGAATGATGATATTATGTGTCCGATGTGTGTTCATATAAGGAAACAAACTTCCAGTTGTTGCAGGAATTGATCTAAATTCCAATTCGGATTGCATATAAATACAGTATATCCTGTGACTGTAGTTTGGATGAAAGTCTCATTTCGAGTCTGTCAGGAATCAGGTCACCCAGGGAACAGAAAATGATTAGTTTGGAGTCTTCCTGGAAAACCAGGCAATGATCTGCTTCCTTCCAAGCAGTCAGTCAACCAGTCAACAAAATCAAGCTGTTTACAGTCGGGCTTCATTATCCATCTCGAAGACCCTCTTCCCAGCCCCAACAGTTTTCTTTAGTACCGACCAATCAACCCCAAGCCCCTCATCTCGTCTCTTTCTGAGACTCTGCTGCTGGATCTAATTCCTGTGGGATGAATTTACCCAGATTGGAGCACTCAGCAAAAGGGCATTATCCCGGATTACATGTCTGTTGGGCGGCAGTGTTAAGTAATTCAACCAGATGCCGTTGTGATCACTGGGTCACCTGGTGAAGGCAGGGTTAGCAGCTGCACTCCTTCATTCAGCTCTCTGTTGTCACATCTCCGTTCTTCTGAGACTTTTTTTTTCTTGAATGACAGTAAGAATGATAGTTACAGTTGGTCAATTAAAAAAAAAAGAAAAAAGCTA